AAGCGCGCGGGAGCGGCAGAGGAAGGGGATAATAAAGAGGAGGAAGGGTAGCCGACAGGCAAGGGGAACGAGGGAAAAAGAGAGTGGCGAAATGCCGTAGTTCCACCCTGGTAAGAAACAAAGAACAGAAAATTGATCGTTTGTTAAGTTTTATGTTTCTACGAGCAAGCGGCGAGGCTCGTCCATCCGTCCGTTCCCTCTCTCGTTCTTTCTCCTCCAACTGCATCTCTTTCTCTCTCCTCCCCTTTTATTTCTCGAGCCTTGTCCTTCGTATAGTCGATGAATTTCTCTCTCTCCATCTCTCTCTCTCTCTCTCTCTCTCTCTCGTCGCGGCGTACAATAAGACGAATTGAGGAAATTCTACGCGGCGCGCTATGGGAAAAGAACCACGGGGCACGCAGAAAAACGCAAAAGGGAAGAGAAAAGGATAGAAGGAGGAGAGAGAAGCAGGTACGGAGCTGGCAGGAAGGGCAGAAAAGATATAGGGGAGCGGGAGCGAATGAGAGACACGTGTACGCGAAAAAAGAGCAAGAGCCCGAGTCCGTGGAAACCGGACGGGATTGCATTCGTCGTCTGCTACAGATCGTCCGGGTTTTTTGGCTGGGAATAGAATCCAATTATCAGGAGTCGGATCGTCTCCATCGGGTCGGGCAGAAAGAAAAGAGGAGGATGGGGATGATGGCGATGGTGCTACCCTTACCACAATTCCTCGGGTTTTCGCGTTTCATTTATACATACACACGTACACGCATTCGGGGATACCCGTTACGCGTCAACTTTCGATGATCTCATCACCCCAGCGATCCGATTACGCATCTATAATTATAGTGACGGCAAGATAACGGGCAATCTCTCGTTTGCGGGGAGAGGAGATGTGGATTGTTTTGGACAGTGACCGTAATTCCCATCGATGCGAGCAAGTTATCGAGGTTCCCGAACTGTAATTCGGATGACTGATTCCAATAGTGGGCGTATATAATTTATATATCAGACGAATGTGAAGCACGAATCGTTCCATTGGAAACAATTGAGCATGGTTATGCAACATGGAGCAATTCTATTATTGCAAAACGTAATCTACAAGTAAATGACCTCAGAGAGACATTTATGAGAGATAGAATCTGAAGTATGTCTCTATGGTTTAAGAACGTTATTCACAGAGTACAATCTTATATAAGCTCGTTTTAAATCATATCTTAAGAATCGATCCAATAATCTATATGACTGTACAATATCTTGAGATCGTATTTTTTACGATTACGAATACTGGCCCAAAAATCTGAAAAGAGTTAGCTTTTGATAAGCTCTAATAGTTGCTAACACACTTGTGTTAGCTTGTCTTGAGTTTGTGTCTGTTAATTTTACTAAGTAAAAGAAGAACAATGATGATGTATTATTAAAATCTATATTGGATCTAGAGATATATTATTATTGATTCGGCTTTATTGCTATTGAAACAAATTGTAATTTAACGATTATAAAGTTGGACAAGAATAAGGAGTTCAATTATGTCTCTTTTTTTTTTAAATTTCCATCATAGTCAAAGAATATCGCAAAGAAAAGAATCGTATTAGGGAGCGGGGATACCCTCTACATCAAAGACGTTCTAGAAACGATTGCGATTTGTTAGAAGGGAAATGCTCGGGGGGACACTCAGTTAAGACTCAGGGAATATTCTACTTTTCAAAATTGTAGTCTTTTTGAGACAGAGCCTGTGATATACTACGATACATTTGGCTGAGCAGTATTTTGGAAATAGTTTCGGTAATTTCAAGAAGTGCTCTCTTCTCCGGGGAACATAACAGCCGACTCTAGTGAGTCTATATACATACATATATGTATTATGTATACATATATGATGAAAATGTCATTTTGCGGTGCGCTTGAAATGGAATTCTGAGTAGAAACAGGGGATTTCGAGACGGTGTTGGCAACGCGTGGTTACAATTTAGTCTCTCTCCCCCGCGTAATCAAAAACTGAGTTAGGCATTTCGTCATGATAACCGTGTTTTGACAAGAGACGAAGTCACAAGGACGAAGCTCTAATTAGCGACGACCAAGTTCGTTTCGGTCGCGCACACACGCAAGTACCATGGCTGCCGCGGAGCTTATATCGACTCGATTATTTTAATTGAAAATTGACAAGATAACTCTCGCAATGCAGCGAGGGACTGAGCTCGTTTCGAGCCGGATTCGAGATGAAATATCGAGGAAAATGGCAATTTTATTATATATTTCCCGTAAATCGAATTGTGAAATTCCACTTATCGAGTTTCAGTCATAAATCCAATTTCACGTTACAGCGAAATTCCGGAAATCGAGTTTCCGCGTATCCTGAATCACTCGCGACTAATTTCTCTATTTCGCGATAGAACTTCTTATATCGTCGACTTTCATATCAAGTGTGGTTCTATGCTACAGGTTTCCGATTGCTTATCGTCACGGCGGATCACTAATCAGCTACTAATGTCTATCTTATTATACAGCAATCTAACATGCATGCGTTATCAAGTTATCTATTACGAGGTAATCTTAATAGGCGATTAAATTATTAAAAGATTATATAAACTAATCCTTTTTTTTTGCAAGAAACGCATATCTGAAAAGTATATAACATAGCTTCAATACGATTCAAATATATCATACTAAATAAATATATAAATATATTTATTTAGTATAATATATTTATAATAATTAACTAAATAAATATATTATACACTTTAACAAATATACAACAATTATTAATGATTCTTACATATTCTTTAATATGTTTTATAATATGTTTTAATTTATTAATATGTTTTAATTTATTCTTTAAAAAATATTTGTAAGATTGCATATTTAAAAAATTGTATATAAATTATGTATAAATATTATAACTAATTAATATTTGATGCTCCCAAGTTTTTGAAGAAAATAAACGTGTAGGACGTGAATAATCCAATCGTATAAAACTAAGAGTTAATACGATAGAGAATATAAAAAAAAAAAACGATAGAGATCACTCGTGTCTGCTGATGTTTGATCTCTCCATTTTCAATTCAGCTTGTTTTTCAAATAAGCGTTAACAAGTATAAAAAAAGTTGAAAAAAAAAAGTTAATTTCAAGTGATGACTGTTGCGACTTTTCAAGACATGCACGCAAGATATGAGAAAGCGCGTCATCGACGCCGCGTCATTATCGCGATGATCTCTGCTCTGTTTACCTTGTGTGCTCGTAACGTTTTGCCTTCGCAAGCGAGCGTGACGTCGCAATAGGCCTGCCGTTCGAGCAACTGCGAGAACATAGTCTGCAGGTTGCTGTGATGGTATTTCCATCTTAAGCAGTACTGTTGTGGGAACATGTTGGATGATGAAGATGATGATGATGATGATGCTGAGCCGGTCGTCGTAGCGGGTACGGGTATCGTTGCTGTTGCTATACAGCCTCGTTGTTGAAGCATGCGCGGCTTTGGCGCTGCCGCGAACTCTTCGACCGAGCCGGCCACCGTCGCGTTCGCTTCCGGTTCACCGTACTCTCGTCGCCCACCCTCTCTTCTTCCTGCGCCCCGCCAATGTCTGCAACATCGGAAGAACTCGCGTTAAGAAATCATCTTGGGGACACCTTAATATTAGTTTTCACGAATTTTCAAGAAACGTAAAAAGTGACAAGTCGTTTTGGAATATACACGACCTTCTAAGTATACCGCGCTAAAGTTTACAAAGTTTATCTAGTCTCACCATTTATCTGGTTATCATATAAGTAACACGTAGAAGAAAACAAAATTTCTTTATCAAATATGTTTGCGTTTTGATAAAAATTTGTGGAACAAAATTTATAACCATGAATCGTTATTATCGCTAGGAAAAAATGATGTGGAAGGATATAATAATCGAATAATCTAAATGATTATAGTAATTTATAGCGAAAATTGTTTTGAACTAAATAAGGTATTTCTTGCAAATTTTTAAATGCCGAAAATAATACCGTAAAACCAAATTTCAACAGTACTGCAGGTTTTCGAAATAATTTAATATGTCAAAAACAAACTTTTTGAAATATTTGTTTTTTTTTTTTTAATAGAAAAGATTAACATGAAATTCTGATCAGAAGTCGTGAGTATATCATTTATCTTCTATATTAATGTATGTATTGTTTGCCCTCTAAATTTTATTTTTTAATATCTTACTAATTTTAATATCTTACTTTTTAATTGTGTGTTATAAAGCTGTATTAACCATGTTATGATGAAATAAGTTCAAATACAGAATTTTTCTAAGATAGCGAATTTCCCTCCTATGACGATGAAGTCATATATATTTATAAGTTTGTAGTTATCGCACACAGTGTAATTTATCATGACAACTTCCGCTAAATGTATTATATACATATATATTTGAGTCGGAATAGAGGTTCGTAGCACTACGAACTTCAAAATTCAAGCAGCTATATCTTCATTGCAAACGAAATTTAAATTTATGAGAGGACTTTAAAGCTTAAAAATCTCTACTTAAAAATACTTAACAATCTCTACTTTTGAAAGATTATTATGTTTTTTTAAGTTTCTATGAGTTTGTTTGATCATTTTTATATACAGAAAATTACAAGCTAGACAAAATGAGCAATTTTTCTCTTACTTCTGTTACTAAAAAATTTTTGATTGTATAACGTAAAAGCTTACAATTTTCTCAAAAAATCGTTTTTTAAAAATGTTTCTACGATTTTTACTATTGAGTTATCATGAATTAAATAAAAAAAAAGTATTCTGATTTGATAAACTGTTCACAATTTCGTTGAAATCATCATAATTCAAAACACAGATTTTTTTAAGTTGAAACTATGCTCTATCGGACAATATAATTATCAAATTTTGTTTGAAAACATGTAGATATGACACAAATGAAGTAACTACAAACTTTTGTTCCAATTCAAAGATATTTGAGAGATATTGGCATCTCGAATATTTAAAAAAAAAAAATCAATTAAAAAAAGTTTCAAAAATTATACGATCTGTGTATGTGTATCAATAGTCGCAAATTAGAAATTATAAGTATGACGTCATTATCATAGGCAAAAAACTGTTTCAAAAAAAATCTTGTATATTTAAATCCTTCAACATCCCTGGCGGAAACAAAAATTTACGAAAAAGTACAGAAAAACTGTACAGATTTGAAATAAGATTTTAGAATTCTTAATTTTTCGTAGATATTCGTAGTGGGACGTAGAATAAGGTTTGTTTGTCTTAGAAATTCTTAGTTTTTCATAGATATTCGTAGTGGAACGTAGAGTGGCGTTGTTTGAGAGCGGAGGATTTTTTAGTTTTTCAAACAAGCCACGCCACTTCACGTTCCACTACGAATATCTATAAAAAAGAATTTCTAAGATCTTGTCTTAATCTTTCGTAAAAATTTTTCTGCCAGGGATAACCAAAAAATAAAATATTGAAATAAAAAAAATGCATTTTATTAAAAATAAACAATATATACGTCTGCTTAGCTGACCTCCCCATTAATCAAATCTTAACGAATAAATTATATAATAATGCGCTATTTATGCGATTTCAAAATCCGGAAGAAAAAATTTTTGCGCTTATTTCGTTTAGCTAAAAAAAAATTCTTGTGGAGGGAGCTGAGTAGGCTGTTAATAGGCAGTTAACCCTTACAAGTTAATAATAATCGATTTAAAAAATTAAATACACATTTATGCACTATTTATGCGCTATCATATGCACACAGTCTTAATTTTTGCGCTGCAACCCTTAAGGCACTTTCCTTTTGGAGCGAACAGACATCCCTAAGTCGTTTAAAATTGCAAAATTAAATACTCTGACTATGCAAAATAATTCTATGATTTATACGTTACTATTTTCAAGCATTTTCGATTTTTGCGTTGCAACCCTTAAGGCATTTCCCTCTTAGAGCGAATAATCATATTCACCCCTAAGTTTAAAATTGCAAAATTAAATACTCTGACTATGCAAAATAATTCTCTGATTTATGCGCTACTATTTTCAAATATTTTCGATTTTTGCGCTGCAACGCTTAAGGCACTTCCCTCTTGGAGAAAACAGTCATCCCTAAGTTATTAAAAATGGTAAAATTACACTTATCTAACTATAAAAAATATATGTTCGATTTATGCGCTACTATTTCCAAGGAATTTCGATTTTTGCATTGCAACTCTTGAGGCAGCAACTCTTTGTTCTTGGCGCAAACAGTAATATCCGTATCTAATAAGTCATTAAGAATTGTGAAAATACGTGCTTTAACTGTGTAAAATATATTTTTAATTTATGCGTTATGAAGTCTAAGCAATTGCGATTCTATTAAAAAATCAGAGATGATAATGTAAAAGAGTTTTGAAGAAGATAGAAATGATGATACCTAATATACGTAATATAAAGGTTTTTGAAGAAGTGCCCGAATACACTTAATATTTGAAAAAAAGAATGAAAATACCCATTCGAATACACCTTATTTTTATTCATCAAGAAACAAACTAGAAAATAAGAAAAAAATAAATACTTTTAATAACGTAATTGCTTCGAATACATAGCGTATAAATCGAAAATATACTTTGTATAGTTGAAGCATGTATTTTCACAATTTTTAATGACTTAGATACGAATATTACAGTTTGTTTTGAGAGAGAAGAATTGCAGCGCAAAAATCGAAATTGCTTAAAAATAATAGTGCATAAATCGAACATATATTTCGCATAGTTAGATAGTGTAATTTTGCCATTTGCATTTTCTCCATTTTAAACGATTTAAGAATGAATACGACTGTTTGCTCCAGAGGGAAGTACCTTAAGAAATGCAGCGCAAAAATTAAAATTGTGAATATGACAGCATATAAATAGCAAATAAATCCTGTGTATTTGATTTTCCAAATAAGTTGTTATTAACACGTGGAGGGGGCTAATCGATTACTCAGGCTACTCAGCTCCCCACAAAAAAATTTTTTTATTATATATTATACAAACGAAATGAGCGCAAAAATTTTTTCTTGCGAATTTTGAAAGCGCATAAATAGCGCATTATTATATAATTTATACATTAAGATTTCATTAAGTGGAAGAGCCAGCGAGGCAGACGTACAATATATTCATGATTAATTCCAATTATAATTTCAAGATAATGTTAATCTATGTTAAAATGTGTAAATGTTTTATAAAAAAATATCGCAAAAAAGCTATTTTTTGCACATTAAATCTCAATCATTTTGGAAATTTGCCATATTGGTAAAATTTGGCTTATGGGATCGTTACAGCAAAATCTAAAAGTCTATAAGGAACATCTTGTTTGGTTTAAGTAATTAAAAAAAACATTTTTGTAAACTGGTGTAATGGAACAATCTAAATGTTTTGCATAAATTCGCGCAAACATGAGCTTGCGTTGAAACACGCGCTCGCTGCAGATATAGCCCAACCGGTCATTGTCACACACACCGGTATCGGACTGGCAGGAAGTTTACCGTCACCGAAGGAAGGAAAGAAGCTTCATCGCGTATCGGATAGTATAACCATGCGTGAACGTTTATCGCACTATCGTTCTTTCTTTATTCTTCATTCTGATAGAATGTTTACGCTCAAAGAGCGTATCACTTTTCGTACCGTTACTGATATTCTAATACGGAGAACGCTGAACTTTACAACGAAACTTTTTGCGCTTAACTTAACTTAATGAAAGCACATGTTGTGATTTTCATTCAGTTTAAAGTTTTAATTAGTTTAATTAATGAAATGCAAAATGTTTTAAGTAAAAGTTGTAAAAATTTTAACTCACGGTTTATATAATTTCTAAATAATTTTAGGATTTTTAAACTTTTAATATTATTTAACAGGAAATTTAAAGCAAGATATATAAGAGGCTTTTCTGTTCGTCCTTAATTTTACTTGAAGTTTTTGATATAATCTCATAGATCTTAGAGATCTTGACGGACGATTGCTCGTTTTTACTACTTACTAAGTAAGTCTTCGAACTTCAAATTCACAATTAGACTTGAGGGTTGGTTTGTTCTTCCCTCTGTAATACCCCTGCATAAACAAAGTTCTTGGGGACGATTTTCTCTTATGGACAGCAACTCACCTCACCTGAAATACAAAGAAACAAAGTTTTATTATACATTCGCCGGAGTGACATAATGTCGATTAGCACGCGATCAAGATTGACATGTGATACGACTAGTAGCATGTTCAAATAGAGTTGACAGCGGTATATTAGAGGGCAGTATATTAGATAGCACGATTGGAGCCGAACAAATTAGTTTGCTTCTCGGTTTGCTTTGAATCGCGCGATGATGGAAATAATAGCCGATGCTCGCAAGGGACATTCGCATTAGTCCCGCCAGTCAGTATGGCGTATTAAAATGAGGACTTGAAATTGCTAGGATTTCGGAATCAATTTTCGATGAGATATGAGAAAAGTTGCATTTCATTTATATGTTTCCACAGCAACCGTACGAATTCAATAAAATTATATCAGAGAATTGACACAAAAACCGGTGATTTCAAGAACATTCGAACCCTTTTAATTTTCATTTGCATCGATTATCGTTACCATTCTTTATTTACCATTCGTATGAAAATAATCCCTTTTCGTATCTCTGAAAAGTCACGATTTATTTTATTGTTTGTATATATAGAAACTCGGTTTTGTTTGCTCACGCAATAAATAATTCTCTTGTTAATTAATCCGATGTTATTAAAGCGGACAAACTAGGTACTATAATGTTGTTTTATTTTCATAATTGCCAGTGTCTTTGTAATAATGTTTTGTTAATAATTTTTAATTATTCCATATAATTTTATTGCTATAATTTGAATAAAAATTAAACATGATGCAAAATATTGAAAAAAATTTATTACAATTTAAGATTAGCTCGGGTTTAAATTTCACTAATAGTTATATTATATATGTCTCACATTTCATCTTACAAAGTAATGCTATCAAGTTTCTAAATTCGGAAGAGAGGTGTAAAGAATTTGATCGGCGCAAGCGAGGTAACCGGATGAATCCTTTCTGCCGTGTCAACGTATGTATGTCGATTTACGAGGATAACGGCGCCAGATAACGACGCCCGGCAATTACAGTTAAATCGATTTCTATCCGCGTGGCAGCTTGTCGATCACGCTATACACCGCACGCGCTGTGTTCTCTCCACTCCACTTTTTTGCATGGAGGGATCCGCATTTACTATAATAATACTAACCGGAGAAACTACCCGGCGGCGAGAAACCTTGGCAAATAATTTGCCGAGGAGCTTTCACTGCCGCGTTTTCTACGAGAATTTTCGATAGCTCCTTTTTCCTCCGTTTGATGCAGTGAACTTTCACGGGGGAAGGACGAAAATAAATTCTTTATTCGCGCCAATGCGTCAAAACTAAGGGCCGAACACAGGTTCATAGGAATTGCGAATGCGCAGTCGACTGATTCGAAGTAGAAACGATTCAAGCACGAATGGTTCGGGCTATCCATTCAAAAAAGCAATTGCTTTTCTGTGGTCTGAGAAGACCATTTTTCTCTTTTCTCTTTTCAAAATGCTTAGATTCGCACCAATCTGACGTAGATTTTTCAATTTTCACTGCTTTTCAGATCAAAGATATCTGATTTTTGATCGGATTTCAAGATCGACACGCGCAGTCAAGACAATATAAAAAAAAAGTTCAGAGAAGAAAGGAATAATAAAGATGATCGTTTTCGATGGAAATAAATATCCATACAATATCGATACAATTTCAGAGAATAGCTCATAACTTTGTGGAAAAAATAAGAAGGACCAAAAGTGCCAATTTGTTTTTAAGCCTTGTCATATAAAAATATGATTGCTACTGCATGTGGACATATTCCAGATTTACAAACTTGTACAAATAATTATATTGATAATCTTAAATGTTATTTAAATAAAATATATATATTGGGTTGTCCGGAAAGTTCTTGCCGATTTTTGATAGGTGGCGTAAGAATAGATCTGAATATATCAGAACGATTGAAAATAACATGTGTATCTGTCGTAAAAGACGGTACTTCAGGCATACTTGGAAAAAAATTTGATTGCGATATGTTAATTTTTGTCAGTTTTATACGTCTTTGAATATGGAAGAAAACAAAATGCATTTTAGGCATTTAATACTTTTTTTTTATCGAAAAGGTAAAAATGCCACACAAGCGGCAAACAAGATATGCGCTGTTTATAGCGCTGTAGCTGAAAGAACTGTGCGGAAGTGGTTTGCTAGGTAAAACTAGTGATTTCAACCTTGAAAATCAAGAACGCTCGGGTAAGCCTTCTATCACAGATGAAGATCAGATTAAAACACTGATCGAGAATAACCCATGCTATACGACACGTAAATTAGCAGAAATGTTGAATATGTAAAAATCCACGAGCATTTTGTGAAGCTTGGCTACATAAACCATTTTGATGTATGGATTCCCCACGATTTAACAGAGAAAAATCTGATGGATTGTATTTCTATTTGCGACTCGTTTCTATAAACGCAACGAGGAGACACCATTTTTGAAGCAAGTAGTGATGGGGGATGAAAAATGAATCATTTACAATAACGTTTAGCGAAAAAGAAGAAGAGAAGAGGAAAGCGGAATGAACTACCTTTAGTCACCCCAAAAGCCGGTCTTCATCCAAAGAATGCTCTGTGTCATGCTCTGTGTCTGATGAGATTGGAAAGGGATCCTGTATTATGAGCTTTTACCAAACAACGAGACGATAAATTCAGAGAAGTATTGTTCCCAATTAGATGAATTGAAGACAGCAATTGAACAAAAACGTTCAGAAATAGCGAATTGGAAGGGCGTCGTGTTTCATCAGGACAATGCGCGGCCTCATGTGTCTTTGATAACTCGACAAAAGTTGTTGGAGTTCGATTGGGATGTTCTACCCCATATTCACCAGACCTCGCGCCCTATGATTTCCACCTATTTCGATCATTACAAAATTCTCTTAATGGAAAAAGCTTCAACTCTTTGGTCGAGGTAAAAAAATCACTTAGAAAAGTTTTTCGCTGAAAAACCCGAGAGATTCTGGAAGGACAGAATTTTTAAGTCGTCTGAAAGATGGAGAAAGATTGTAGAACAGAATGGCAACTATATAATTTAATAAATGTATACTAAAATTTAAATTTTCTTTCAATTTTCTTTCAAAATCGGCACGAACTTTCTGGACAACCCAATATATATATATATATATACGCATTTATTATAGTAAT